GTCGATGTTAACACGAAATTAAAACTTTCATATGGTGGTGGTTTTAAAACATTTTACTTCATATGCCAAAAGGTACCTCCTAAACTACCTCGATCGTAATTGTTACCATCGTTCCAATAAGGTTTTCATATAGAATCTCTTTTTGACCTCGAAGGGCTCTATAAAGACCACACTTTGAAATTTTTTTCTCTCACAACATACCCCATAAGAGGTCACCGACCTCTCCTGACAGACTCGATAGTCATGAGAACATAACTCCCCACTGAATTCAAAGGGAATAGTGGCATTTAAATCTTAAACTAATAATCTCATGCTATTCCAGTAGCTTACCCTTTTCGTTTTCTTTTTTATTCTAAGTTTTCTAAAATCATCTGGGAAGCAACAGATCATATTTAATTGTTGGGGCTTTTACGCTGCGCTTTCCGAATAGCTTCTGCTTCGTGGGCTGTGGCACTAGTTCAATACCCACCAACCCCAGGTTTATCTCATCCGCACGTATCAAAGCTTCCTCACTCCAGCCAGAAAGTAAAGTAATAGCTTTAAGTTCCTCTTTCCTGTCAAGGAGCTAGTCATTAATGAGATTTGCCATATTTTTAAAATGACTCTATATGCCCCCTATAAAAGCTGGCTATATAATCCTGTTATTCAGTTAGCACAGGCATGCTCTTCAGCTTTGTCTGTACAGTCTTTCTTTTTCCCCCAACAACTTAACTTTCTTTCAGTGTTACGAACTATGTCATGAAGCCTGCAAAAGATAAACGAACAGAGCTATGAAACTCCAAGTCACTTCTGCCACCGCTGCTCCGAACAAGTTCACACAGCCAACCCCCAGGCGATGAGGGACGAGTAAAGATGCCATCAGGGGCTGAAATGGTCACACAATCCAAAAATGATTAAAAGCAAGAACATTCCAAATACAAAAATCGTCAGAAAAGGCTCTTTTGTGGTACAAATCATGCAGATGTGACAAATACCCTCACAGTAATCTGAGCTCTCGGCTGGCACGAGCGCTTCCTGGAGCCCAGACGTAACCTTGATTTGTGGTGCTCACTGCAAGGCCACGAAGCTGGTGCCCAGACATCTGAGTGCTCCGTTCTTCTCTTGGCTGCCTCTGCGTGCTGTGGAGCCAATCACCTCAGCTAGAGGAAAGCGGGATAACCCCAATGCTCCCTGCCTTCCACACTGCCTCACAGCAAGCCTCCTGGCTCCCCCGGGATTATGTGGATTACAGACAGGTCCTGTGAAAACGAAAAATTATGACTCCTAGGGATGACTAATATATAATGAATTAATCCTCAGGACCATTTCCAGGGGCCAGGCTAAGCCCCCAACTTCAGCACTTACCTCCTTCTCTTGACTCAATCACTTGAAAGTTGAAGGTAAGAGGTCATGACTGCAGGTTCTCCCGTTTCCGCTTTTAAACCTACATTTGGCTGTTCTGTTTTTACAATCCTTTCTCTTCCTTCCTTGCTAATTTTCTCAATCAAAACTACAAAATGCTTTAGGTATCCACACTAAAACAGTATTCTGTTTTCCATTTAACTCAAATAAGCTAATCATCCTAATTGAAACAATAAGTATACTTTAGTAAGTGGCAAGATTCCAAAATGTCTATCTTCAAAGTTGCAAAATAATTGATTTAAGTGACAGAATACCCTTTTTCTTTTTTTTTAAATGACTGAGGGAGAATTTGCACTGTGAAGGACTTTTTCTGTGGAATGTGAAAAGCTGATGTTAAAACTCAAATGAAAATGCAAAGGGCCCAAAGTAGCCAAGCCACTATTGAGTAGAAGGTTTGCTCCAGGCTCCACTCAGCCTTCTCCTAAAACTACCATAAATAAGGTGACAGAATACTAGCACAGATAAATTTCTCCTCAAAGAGAGAGCCCAGAAAGCAACATATACATATACAGATGCTTTGACATGTGACAGCAATGCCACTATTGAGTAGAAAGTTTGCTCAATGCTCCACCCATCCTTCTCCTACAAGTACCATAAATAAGGTGATACGATATGAGCACAGATGAATCTCTTCTCAAAGCGAAAGCCCAGAAAGCCAACACATACATATACAGATGCTTGGTATGTGACAGCAATGCACTCCACAGCAGATGGCGAAGGTCTGTCTTTCACCCACAGTGCCAGGACAAAAGGGTATCCATATGGCAAAACGGAGACCAGAACCCTTCCTCACATATTCACAAATAAAGACCTAGTGTGAAAGGCAAAATGACAAAGGATTGAGAGGAAAATAACAAATGCTGGCAAGAATGTGGGGAAATAGGGACCCTTATTATACATTGATGGTAGGAATACAAAATGGTACAGCCGTTGCGGAAACTGTGGAGTTTCCTCAAAAACCTACGAATACAACGACCATATGACCCAGCACCTCCACTCCTAGGTATATACCTGAAAGACTCGGAAGCAGAGATCAAACCGACTTGCACACCAGTGTTCACTGCAGCACTATTCACAATGGCCAAGTGGTGGAAACAACCTAACTGCCCAACAGCAGATGACTGGAGAAACAAAATGTGGTACATACAGACCACGGAAGTCTTGATACATGCTACAGTATGGATGGAGCTTGGAGACATTATGCTGAGTGAAATCAGTCAGTCACAACACGACAAATACTGTATGACCTCACTCATATAAAAAGGTAAGAACAGGCAAATGTATAAAGACCAAAGTTCATCAGTGGTTACCAGGGGTGGGAGGGAAGGGTAAGGTGTTTGTTGCTTATGGAGCACCGAATTTCGGTTTTCAGTGATGGAGAAATCACATTAAGGGTTGGGTTTCACAGCTGTTTAATGTAATTGCTGTCAGTAAGTTGTACACCTATAAAAAGCTGAATTGGCAAAAGTTGTACGCTGTATTTATGACCAAAAAAAAAAAACAGAGTGTAGCTGCTGAGGCTGCTTATATACAGCCAAACACATCGCGGGATTTGGTTCCTTGGTTTGGAGGGCTAGTCATGGTTTCATGGGACAGCCCAGTTAATCGGCCTAATACCATTTTTCAGTACTTCAGTTCTACCTCCTAATTCATTGTGTAGTGCCTGGGGTCTTTTAATCAAAGAGTCTATAAAAAATCCTGATCGAAATGTGGGAAATGCAGAGAATTTTAAATTCTCATGGAATCCAGATGTTCCATGGAGTCATGAAGGCTGGATAAAGACCTAAAACTATCACCCTGAGATAATCTTTAAATCTTAAACCCCCGAAGTCTTCAACAATAGTTTAGCTTAACTAGTAAAGGATGTCTGCCTTGAGCATTGTGGTCTCCCTGGTGGTGCAGTGGTTAAGAGCTTGGCTGCTAACCAAAAGGTCAGCAGTTCAAATCCATCAGCCACTCCTTGGAAACTCTATGGGGCAGTTCTACTCTGTCCTATAAGGTCACTGTGAGTCAGGATCGACTCGGGGACATTGGGTTTTGGTTTATATGGGATCAGGAGCCCTGGTGGTACAGTGATTAAAAGCACTTAGCTGCCAACCAAAAGGTCGGTGGTTTGAACCCACCAGCCGCTCCATGAGAGAAAGATGTGGGAGTCTGCTTCTGTAAAGATTACAGCCGTGGAAACCCTATGAGGCAGTTCTACTCTGTCTATAGGGTCTCTATGAGAAGCAATCAACTTGATGACAGTCGGTTTGGGATATGGGATCAAACTGACAACAGCAAACGGGAAGATCTGATAGGAAACTTAGAGGGCAGGGAGTTTATGTTCACGGGGGAGGAACACCTCCGAAAAAGGAGGGTGAGAATGGTGCACAGCTAGAAGAATGGAATCAGTGTCAGAGAGTTGTACATACAGAAACGGTTGATGTATGCTCTGCTGTATACAATAATTAAAGAGAAAAACCTACCTCCTTATCCACATCAAATTAACTTACCTAAGACTGAGGAGACAAAATCAACTGAAATGTTTATTCTTTTTTTTTTTTTTTTTTAAGTCATTCAACAATCAGTGGCTACCTAGGTATTTCCTCACCCATCTTTAGTCTGGTACATGCTCCACGAAGTCCACTGAATCCCGGACAAACGCTGGACCATCTCCAGCCTTCCAAATTTTGTTATTTTGAACGTTCCAGGAGCAATTGCTTTTACCTAAGTAGGAATATTTTTTAAATAGCATTCTCCTTGTAGGTCGGAAAACCCAAGCTGGAAATAAAATTACGTTTCTTAAAACTTAAAAACAAACGAATATCTTCATGACTTTAGGACACAGGGAACGGTGCCTTCCAACAAGGCACAAAGGACACGGGACACAAAGCAAAAGACGGATGACTTGGTCATTATAATTAAAGATTTCTGCTCATCAAAAGGAGTCATGAAGAAAATGGAAAGTGAGCCACAGAGAGGGAGATTTTTATAACAAACATAACCTGTCAGCTAGCAGGCAAGCATTTTGTTTGCGCTACCCAGGGACTCCAGTTCTAGGCACAGATCCTACCGCAACGCGTTTATGTGCGCAAAAATGCTAATCGCAGCATTGTTTCTAATAGCCCAAAACTGGAAATACCGCAGGAGTATCTATCACAGTAGAAGAGACAAAGAATGGTATTAATAAAGTGGCACATTATACAGCAATGAAAATGAATAAAGCACACCACACAGAACACGAATTTTATAAGCAATGTTGAGACACGAGACACAATAAAACATAGAATTCCATTTTTATAAAATCAGAAGTGGACAAAACTGAAACCACTCATATTGAACACATCACTGCTAAACCACTAAAAACGGGGGGTAGGAGGGTCTCACCGTGAAGCCAGGACAGCAGTTACCTCTTGGGGAGAGAGGGTGACAAGAGGGGGCACCCAGGGGGATTCCAGAGGCCGACTCCAGAGGCCGATTCCAGAGGCCGATTCCAGAGGCCGACTCCAGAGGCCGATTCCAGAGGCCGATTCCAGAGGCAGGGAGCAGCTTTCCTGCATCTGGTTTGTGGTTACGTAGCTGTTTGCTTTATCTGTTTTATGTACTTTTCTGTCGATTATACTTCACAACAAAATTTAAAGCTAACAAAACAAGGGAGGACTTCTACTACCAAATATTAACAATTAAAGCCATAATTATTAAAGTATAGGCCCAGAATGAGGCCCAAGAAACACAGGAACTTAATACAGTATTACAAATTAGTGGGAAAATAATGGTTTATTTAATATAATACTGAACGAACCGGTCAACTATTTGTGAAAACCAAAAAATTAAATGCTGACCTCATACGATATCAAGTAAGTTCAAGACGGATTAAAAGTTCCTTTGAGTTAAAGGTAAGTATAAAAAGTGAAATAAAAGTACTAGAAGAAAATAAGGGTAACTATCCACTCTTGGGGTGGGAAAGGCATGTTCAAGGCCAGGTGCAGAGGTGAACTCCTCAAAGAGAAGGATGTCTACACTGAAATACCATAAAGTGGATTAAAAGGCAAATAAATAAAACAATTACAGCGTATGACAAACGATGGGCATTCTTAATTCATAAAAAACTTATAAATCAATAAAAAAGGTAAACTCTCCAATATGAAGGATATGAATAAGCAGTGAATATAAATGAATGAATATGTGGCCAATCAACTTGAAAAAAAACTCAACTAGTAAAGAGATACAAATTTTAAATGTAAACCTATTTTGTAATTATTAAGTTCCCAGTTTTTTAATAATCATTTTCAATTCTGGAAGTGTGACATATCGCTAGTGGGAAAGCAAAGTGACACCTCTGTGGTGAATACTGTGTGTGAGCAAGATTCTCACAAACTTACATACCCTTCCACCCGGCAACTTCACTTCTAGCAATGGATCTTCTGGAAAGACGTCGTTTTTGTACAAATGTGATTATCTTTTAAGATACTGATCACATCATTATTTACAGGCTACACTATAAATAATCAAATTGCTAAACAATAGGAAATTGAGTTTTAAAATTATGGTCCACCCACGACATGGAGTATCCTGCAGCCATCTAAAATGCCAAGTTTTTAACAATGTGGGAAATGTTTACAACACAGGCAGTCCCCAGGTTATGAACGTCCAACTTACGGACAACTGGTACTTAAGAACAGGCCGCCGTAAAGCCTATTATATTAAAAAATCTGAGTTATAGACAAACGCGCACACTACTTGTGACACTCATGAAAACACTGGATTGTTTGGAAGTGTTTCTTGTGTTTTCAATGCACAGAGAGGTAAAACATATTTTATGTACTAAGACAAACATTTGGGTGACGCTAAATAAGAACCGTATGTACCTCTTCTGACTTACCTACAAAGTCGACTGAAAGACAGACGTAGGAACGGATCTCATCCTAACCCAGGGACTGCCTCTATATAGAACAGACTGTGAATTTTGAAAATATAAACATATAGCTATGCACAGAAAAATAAGTAAAAATACATACACCAAAATGTTAGCAGGGGTTCTTTCTGGTGGTAGATTAGAGGTTGACTGTGTACATGCATGTGAGCCCTTCCAAACGATCCATCTTTCCATAACTAACATGTATTATTTTATTCTATAAAGAACATAAGATCAAACAGTTTTACGTTGTGAAATCATCTCTAAATTTTACAGACTAAACATAACGAGCCTCAGCTCCGCATACTCCGTGCTGGCTTTTTTGCTGGAAAGTGGGTGACGCAGAGTTGAGCCCTTCTTGTCATGTGTGTATCTGACCTAAATGTACTTCCACCGAAATTTCACACACGAACCCTCCACTGCTATCAAGTCAAGTCCAATTCATGGCGACCCTACAGGACAGAGCAGAGCTGCCCCGTAGGGTGTCCAAGGCTGCTAATCTTTACAGAAGCAGACTGCCGGCGTCTTTCCCCCGTGGAGTGGCTGGTGGCTTCCAACCGCCCACCCTCCAGTGGGCGCTTTAACCACTGCGCCACTAGGGCTCCCGTCATGTATGACCAGTCTTTTCTAAAGTCAGAAGAGATTTAAGAACCAGTAAAACAGCACATCAGCGTTCTGAAGTTTCTAACTTTTTATTCTTTCTTTCAACACTGTTTAAAGACTTCAACATATTAGACAAAGATATCTTTGATAACATAAATGTTAATTTCTCTGGAGCCAACCATCTAATTCTTCAAGATGACATGAACATGTATAGACATGAGACTGAGGTTTCTGCAGTCTGTATTTCCCTCTTTTGGGGGGAAAAAAGGTGATGTATTGACAAGACAACAACTCTAGATTTAAAAAAAAAAAATCAATTTCCTCACCAATCTTTAACGTCCCACAAATGAACCCATCACCTGTCAGAGCAATGAAGTCACCTCAAGAAAAGAGCGAACACAGCCATTCCTTCACCTAGATTCTAGACTTCTGCTAGACCTCACGTAGCTCCAGGCATATCTGAGCACCCAGAGAAACCCTCCAACCTCCTGCATCTATTAAAAAACCCGGGTCCATCGAGTTGATTCCAACTCATAGTGGCCCTAGAGGACAGAGCAGAACTGCCCCACGGGGTTTCCAAGGAGCCACTGGTGGATTCACGCTGCCGACCTTTTGGTTAGCAGCCGAGCTCTTAACCACTGCGCCACCAAGGCCCCACCAGGAGCACTCTTTCTTCCTAAGGGAAGACAGAGGGAAGCAAACCCTTGTTAAGTATTTCTTATGAGCTTCTTCCTGGCAACTTCACTCAGCAGCCCATGCAAACAGGCAGAGAATTGTCTAGACGGCTCCCTCCTTTACTCAAAACAGGAGGGCACTATGTCTTCCTAATTCATTTTAGGTGACGCCAGGGACAGTGAAGTATCTCACTGAAAGACACATAATAATGTTATTTGATAGAGGTGAGAATAAGGAAAACAGCAAAGTTATCTGCTTTCATTTGGTTTAAAGAAAGAAAATGTGCTCTTATATACTAAAATATCAGACCAATACACAACATACCGCAAACCTTTAATATTCAAATATTACACTTTTCAAGCGCGCAGAAGTCACCTTCTGAAGATGAACTGGGCTTTTTTCATAGCTACCTTAGTGTACCTTTACAAAATTCTCTCCCTCAGCAACGTCCGACGCTGACCTGGACACCTGGCAGGGGTCCGATGTGAAATGACGACACGGCAGCAGTGAATGACCCAAGAGATGACCCCAGGGCCCGTCTTCACAATCCGTCATCAGAGGACTGACCGTCCTCATCCCTCGCTTCTCGGTACTTCTTCAAAGCCTCTCCCTCTGGATTACAGTTCTGCATTTTAATATTCAGTCTTTCGGCTAATTTTTGTGCTGCAAGCTTGGCTTGCATCTCCTTTAAAACAAAAAGCAAACCAAAAAGTTACATCTTTGCCTTACAGTTTTTCAACAGGAATTCATTCAAACACACACACACACAACCTCACAACTGCTCTCACCAGCAATCCAACAAAAAGCAGATTTACAGCTCTGTAATTATAAAACAACACATTTAAGAGGGCAATGCTCATGAGAACTACCAGCCTGTTACACCTGTAGTTACAGCCTTCCGTTAATAAACAAGACTATCGAACTATTCTAACTACTTACACACAAGAACTGAGTCATCCGCTCAGCATGAGAACAGTTATAAACACTGACACATCAAGTATGTGGCCACATGCATGTATACAGACACATAAACTGTGAACCCCAGGAAACAGCAGCCTAACTAATACTTAGCTAGATTTTAGTCAGGTGCTATCCAGCAACACAGTCCCTGGGTGGTGCGAACAGTTAACATACTCTGCTGCTAACCAAAGGGTTGGTGGTTTGAGTCCACCCAAGGCACCCTGGAAGAAAGGCCTGGCGATCTCCTGAAAAATCAGCCCCTGAAAACCCTATGGAGCACAACGGTTCTACTCTGACACACACGGAGTCATCCCGAGTGAAAGTGACTCAACAGCAACTGGTTTAGTGCCTTTTTTTAAAAAAATACGAGACTAGGCTGCTATTCTGCCTTGGCGCGTCGTTAAAAGCTCAGCTGTACAGAACGGCATCTTCAAGGCGCTCTTTTTTATAAGCCATTCTTCTTCCTCTCGGCGCGCTAAGGTGCTGCCATGTACCTAGGAGTTCCTGGGTGGTACAACTGTTAACACTCTCAGCTGTTAACCACAAGGCTGGCCTTTCAAGTCCACCCAGAGGCACCTAGGAAGAAAGGTCTGACAGTCTACTTCCGAAAACTCAACCACTGAAAACCCTGTGGAGCACAATTCTACTGTGGCACACACGGGGTCGCCATGAGTCCAAGTCCACTCAACAGTAACTGGTTATGCATATCTCTTTCAATTCTCCCTCACGGTCCTCATGCTTACTATCCGCCGTCCCATCATCCTGTATACGAACCGCCAACATCCATGTTTAAAGTTGTCTACGGAAGATGTGACCTTTGGCAAAGTGCTAAATTCCGTCTCCAAAGGCAGGAGATGAGGTTGTTCTATCCTCCTCGTGCCCGCAGACTGTGCTTTAAGGGCAGTGTCCCACTGTGGGCTGCTGGCATCTCGACGCCCCCTCCCATCCCCCACGGAAGCCTGGGACCACGTTTCCCTGACCCTCCCAGCAGGGTTCTGCGCTGGCTCTCCACAAGCTTACCAGGTGGAAGGAGAAGAAATGGGCAACTCTGCAGCAGCCTCCCCTATTTCCCGGCAAATCACCACCTGGATGCTGCAGGTAGCTGTGATCAGGGCCAGCTGTCTCCAGTCCAGCACCTTCCTGACTCTGCTAACTAGAGGTAAACACCAAGAGCAAGCGGCAACCTTCGCTGACCATCACTTCTCCAGCACCCAATCCCATTAAATCCTTTCCTGTCCAAATGACCTGGAGTAGATTCGGACTGATACAAGCAGCATCCAACATACAGACAAGAAAAACCAATACTAATTTTAGCCCTCTAAGTACCTCGTAATTCAGTTTCTGCTGTTTCTGAAGCGCTAAAGACTCCTCCATGGAGAGCAGCTGTGTAGGCATATGGTGAAGCGGGAGAAGCCGGGCTGCTGTGATGTCATCGAGATGCTTCTTATCCCTGCGCCGCTTCTCTTCTGAGGAAACCAGGGGTTCTCCTCCCCGGCACTGGCTGGCTGAGCCACTCCACACCTGGGAAGGTAACCTGAAGGGGAGAAAACTTACGCTATACAATCAGACCGTCTCCTTCTTATAGACACACGTTTAAAACGTTCACACACTAAGAAATGGGCTTTACCCTTAGAAGTTAATTCTTTTCAAAAAGGTAACAGTAAGCAGTTTACCTATATTATTACATTGATAGATAAAATCTCTTTCCTTTGTCTCAACATATTTACTTTGAAAACAGGAGCATTCAAATTGGCAAACCTCTTTTGGAGAATAATTTGACAATTAATTCATTGTTCTAACAGACAGGAGGTATAAACATGGGTTTTTACCCGTGCCTTTTCCTCCCTGCTCCGCAACCTTCTACTTGAACTGAAGCTGCTATGTTTTCATCTATTAACTCAATAAACACCTGCAAAGTGGCTTACTGTCTAGTAGAGAGAAACAAGCATGCCAACCGTTTCAATACAAGGAACACCACAGGTACTACAACAGGTATCCAATGGAGCATATGCGTGTAAATGGACAGTTCTCCTAGGGGCTGGGGAGATTATCAGAAAGGCTTTTCTTCAAAGGCTTCAAAAAAGAGACATCAAACAAGTGAAACTTCAGCTGAGTCTAGAAAACCAGGAGGAGTGAGGGATGACGTGGCTGCAGCACACAGGGGCGGAGGAGGCAGAGAGGACAGAAAGGCAGCAAAACATAAGGCTGGAGGGCAGGCTGGGCCCAGCCCGCCATGAAGAGATCTATTCTACGTAACATGTCCAGATGGGCATTTTACAAACGTCACTCTGGCAGCAGTGAAGGGATGGAAGAGGTCAGAAGAGGCCACAATTACAGCCCAAGAGGGGATGAGAGCTTTCACTCTGACAGAACATTAAGGATGATTATAAACATTACAGAGATGAAGGTCAAGGAGGTGTATGATGTAGGTCTTTGAGACTAGTAGGATATAAACCCAAAACCCAATGCTGCTGGGTGGATTCTGACTCATAGCGACCCTACAGCACAGAGCAGAACTGCCCCATAGGTTTCCAAGGCTGAAATCTTTATGGAAGCAGACTGCCACATCTTTCTCATGCACAGCGTCTGGTGGGTTCAAACTGCTGACCTTTCGGTTAGCAGCCAAGCGCTTAACCACTGCGCCATCAGGATCTGGAGACGGGGAAAAAGGCAGGCGCTTTGAGGGGTGAGAAAAAAAACAACAAGGTGATGATGGCACTTTACCAGGGAGTATGAAAGTCAGTTTGGGAAAAGACAGCTAATAGTAAGCAGTTTACCTACATTACATGCAGTACGTATGCCTGACATGGCAGCAGACACCCCAGTGCTCATGTGTCAAAGGTCACTGTCCATGCCAATCTCAGGTTTTGGGGAGGACAGGGCTAGAGGCTGATGCAGGTCAGCAGCCAGCACCAGGCGGTAATGAAGCCACAAGAGGATGAAACCCACAGGAGAGCATTTGCCCCCCTCCACGTGCTGCACCAAGCCTCTCAGTCCCACGGTCAGCAGCCCAGCCTTTCCGACCTCCTCTGCCTGCACGGGTGCCCCTTCTCTCTCTGACCCCCTCTACCTGCACAGGTGCCCCTTCTCTCTCTGACCCCTTCTACCTGCACAGGCGCCCCTTCTCACTCTGACCCCCTCTACCTGCACAGGTGCCCCTTCTCTCTCTGACCCCCTCTACCTGCACAGGTGCCCCTTCTCTCTCTGACCCCCTCTACCTGCACAGGCGCCCCTTCTCTCTCTGACCCCCTCTACCGGCACAGGCGCCCCTTCTCTCTCCGACCTTTACGTGCACAGGCGCCCCCTCTCTCTCCGACCTCCTCTAAGCACACAGGTGCCCCACCTCTCTCCAACCTCCTTGGCAGCCTGCATTGCTATTCCCTTCTCTCTCTCCTACTTCTGGCCAAATAACTGTACCACGGAACTGGAACCAGGGTATTCTTTGCTGTATTTAGAGACGAGATGATGCTCCTAGAAGTGAGCAGAGACACCTCACTTTACACAGGATGTGAGGTTACTTGGTGAAAGATGGTTTTTTTTATTCCTAACTAAAAATTAATGTAATATCCTGGTTTTCCATACAGCAGAAATAAAGTTTTGAGGTTAAAAGAATGGTGGGGTAAGGTTAAACTTCAAAATCTATATAGGAACAAAAAGTTTTAGGTATTTTTTACTTAGAGGTTTTCAGTTTTTCAAAGAAAGGCAGTAAAGTAGTGATCTGATTTCATATCTCGTATTACATCGAGGCAGCTACCAACCGCTAGCCCCTGACTGAACACTACATTTGAATACAAATAGGTAACAAGTCTCTACTTTTCAAAGAGCTTTTACTGGAGATTTCAGAAATAAAACTATGGCAAGTAACTCAGAAGCAGTGTTTTCACCCGTCCTGCCTGGATCTGTTTTCCCTCTGGTTTTTCACACCCTCTGCTCCCCACCCCAAAAAAATTACTGTTATTTGGTTTAATATTCTTCCAAGTGTGTCAGCCTTGGAGCTTCATCTAGGTCCTCAACTCTTTGAGGAAGACACTGTTCACTTGGGTCACCAGAGCATCTACTGCTTACAGACAGGAAACACGCAGATGTTTCTTGCTGAGAATGTCCCCATCGGCTCCTGCAACTGCCTTTCTGCAGCGTACAGTCTAATCAAAGGCAGAGCTGTAGAGTGCAAGATGGTTCTGGAGGAAAAAGCATCATGCATTTCCTCTCTGTTTCACTGTTAAATACTCGTTACGCACACTGAAACTGCGTGTTCTCCCATCTGTTATTTCAATTATTTGGCTAAAACGCTAAACTGCTTTTCAACATGACTCTGCCACTCCGGCCAGGCTGCTCTGTTTTCAAAATATGTTCACTGCTAAGTACAAGTAGTTCTCAAACAAAGCCTACGGAACTTTTGTTTTTGTTTTTTGCTTTTTTTTTTTAAGTTTTAACAAATACTATGTCCTTCAACAAATGCCCTGTGATAGACCCGTTTCTGATGGTACTTACACATTTGTTTTAAATTTATGTGGTGGGGGCACTGGGTTTTGGGCTCGCACTTCCAGCACTTCCATGTAATGTGGCTTCTTCCGCGTCCGGCTACGAAGCCCCCTCAAGTCATCAGTACTCGCGCTGTCCTCCGAGCGGTGCTCCCCTTGGTCTGCAATTGTCATCCTTTGTAACCTATCGACAATCACCTGGTCAGAGCCGCTGGACACACGATGCCGAGGGGGAGGCTCACCGTCTTCGGCACTGGCTCTGCCGCTGGGGGCTGTGTGCCTGCTCACTGTGCCCCCTGCCTCTGCGGTCTCCTCACCGCCGCTGTGAAAAAGATGCCCAGTTCCCTGTTCTGGTGATGCTGTTTCAGATGACTTGCTGTTATGTACAGAGCGACAGCCAGGAACTAGTGGTGAAGTATCAAGTATCTGGTCTGAATTCTGAGCCTTAGCTGTGTCCACGTCGACTCCTGCAGTCACTGTTTGCCTTACGTCACAGTCTAACCTAACAGGAGGAAAGCGTCCGCTTCTTCCTCTAAGCTCTTCACGTTCGGCAATGGCCGCTTTCAGCTTGCCAACAGAGTCTGAGATCTTTTTACCTTTGTCGGGCAACTTGCAAATGAATTTTCTGTCAAATGGAAAAGAACATGCATACATTAGGACTATGTTTTCAAACCTGAGATATATAATTAAAAAGATAAAGCATTATCCTCAAAGGGAGAGAAGCTGATTTTTAAATCAAAATCTGATTTCCAACTGCCGCGGAACAGGAATGAAACAAATAAGGTAATCATTATCCAAACACCCCAAAACACAAGGGGGTGCAGGAAGAACAGGGAATATACCTCATCTGTCTCATCCACTTAGAATTTAGTAAACGCACTTCAAGCATATAATCATACAAGACATTCCAACAGATCAAGTTTTCTAAGTGTGATCGCAGGAGAAAGGCAAAAGAGGTCCGCGAGGTCAAAACTAGTGTGCTAACAATCCTCAGACACATACTGCCTTTCTCACCCGCGTTTTCTCACTTGGGTAACAGTGGAGTTTCCCAGAGACTCCGCTGACATATGGCATCACTGCTCTGAAGGCTAATGGAATGTGTGCTTGCATATTCTTGTTTACAAGATTTCTCAGTTGTAACTTCTAATAAATCAGTAAACACTGATCAACATAACCCACATAAACAACAGCACTTTTGAATCCTCAATAATTTTGAAGTGTATAAAGGGGCTCTGAGACCAAAAAGTTAAGAGAAAGTCCAACCTCGCAAAGTCAAAACACGCAAGTGACTATTAGTCCCCTCCGCTGGGTAACAGAATTCCCTTCTCAGATGCCTTTTTCTTTAGTGGTACAATAAACGGGGAGAGAAAGCTCACGGGGATTACATCTTAGGCCCTCTATTCTTTCTCTGACACACATCATTCCCCTAGTGTGAACTATTAGCACCTCTCTGCAGCTATGCTGTAATTGTTATGTGCCCTCGAGTAGGTTCCGACTCACAGAGACCCTACAGGACAGAGCAGAACTGCCCCATAGCGTTTCCAAGGAGCCGCCAGTGGATTCGAACTGCCGACCTTTTGGTCTACAGCCAAACTCTTAACCCCTACGCCACCAGGGCTCCTCTCTGCAATTGAGATTCCTATATTTTTCCAGGCTTCTCTTCCCTAAGCTTCACGACCCCTTCCCTAGCTTTTAACTAGCCATAATTAACCCAATGTCTGTCCTGCCATCCCGGAACTTAGCAAACATCAACCTCGGACGTATTCATTCCCCTCCCCAATTCTCCTAGTTTTGTTAAAGGCTCTCCAAGCAGGCTGGGAACTTCAATCATCATTGCCAACTACTTTTTCAAATTATTCCCCAGTCACCTTCCTAGTTCACTTTCTTACAACGCCTTGTTGGGAGCCCACGTAAAAATAGCCCACTGTCCTCTGCCTCTTACTCCTTCAAACAATCCTGCCTCTAAATTAAGCTTCCTAAAATTAAATAAATAAAAAATAACTTTTATTATTTATTGTACTACCCCCCTGCTAAAACCCGTCAAGTCTGAGCAAGAGTCAAACTTTCCCGGCCTAATAAACCACTCCTCATATCCGACTCTTGCCATTTCCTAAAGTTCGTTCGCACGAGAACAGGACCCGCGGTGAAACTGACAAGGTGCCGAGCCTTCACTGTAGCTGGCACTGTATGGGGCGGCACACACAAGGCACAGAGCCGTCGTGGAACCGCCACGGTAGCTGGGGAACTAAAACCAGCAGGGCGTCCAAGAGCAGCGCAATCGCGACGCGGCGGCCAGCACGCGAGCACCGCCGAGGCCCCGTGACCCGCCAGCCGCAGGCCGTCCATCGCCGCGGCTGACAGGCACCTGGCTCGGCAAGGTCACCTTCGGGGGAAACGGGTCAGAGGAGGCGGAGGGGAGCTTCCCGGGGGGGCCCGAACCGCGGGATCCCGGAGTTAGTTCGGCGGGACCCAAGCTTACTCGTTGCGCAAAAGTCTCTCCTGGCGCTTCAACATCTCCCGCAGCTCCGCCAAACTCCGCTGCCCCCAGTGCTCGGGAGCTGGGGGCTCGAAGCCGCGGGGCAGCGAGGACATTGTGCGGGGGCTGCGGCTGGCGAGGCGGCGGGCACTCGGCTCCCTCGGCGGACCCCGCCGCTAGCGCCGAGTCCGCAGGCGGCGACGACTCAGGGGCGCGAGCGGGGGACGCCATTTTCCCGGAAGAAGAAGCTTCTTCGAGGCAAATCGAACTTTATTGACACGCCGGAAACAAACACAGACCAGGCGAAGGGGCCGCGGGGAGGAGCGGGAAGGGGCGGAAGTGACGGAGAATGACGTCCGGCGTCTGGGCAGGCTTCTTTTCGCACCTGCTCTCGGTTTATCCGGTCTTTTTTATCGGTTTCTTCGAAAAGTGGTGCAGTGCCGTTGTGACGTCACTACACAGCATATATTAATGAACGAATAGCCACTGGCCCCTCTGCTTATGGAATGTACAGCATCGAGGAGGGGGGCAGAAAACCAAATAATGATGAAATAGTATGATAGTGAGATTGGGATGGACGTTAGAGAAAGTATCGCTGAGAAATGAAATTTATGTCCAAACCTGGAGGAATGAAAAAAATTAGTCATTATTCCTGGGTGGCACCCACCGTTTGCACTGGACTACTAAAGGTTGATGGGTTGAACCCACTCAGCGCCATCATGGAAGAAAGGCCTGGCGATCCTGTGTGCCATCAAGTCGACGCAGACTCATAGCAACCCTATATGACAGAGTAGAACTGTCCCGTGCGGTTTCCTAGGCTGTAATCTTTACAGAGCAGACCACCAGGTCTTTGCTCCCAAGGAGTTCAAACCGCTGACCTTTCAGTTAGCAGCCGAGCCCTTAACCATTGCACCACCAGGGCTCCTTTCAGTTACCCTATGGAACAGAGCTAATCTGTAACACCTGGGGTCACCATGCGTCAATCAATCGCAGCTGGTTTGGTTTTTTGGCCTGTGGTGTGATACCTCCTACCCTAAGGCTTAGTGAAGTCCTGAATGTTAAAGTTTAAAGGTTAGTTAGAAGCCGTCAGGCTTTCTTAGTGAGGCTCTGTGTATCTGGAGCAGCGCAATTCCTCGTTTGGGCATTGCCCCAGGTCATTTGATGTCTGGCATCTGCTCGCTAATTGCCATAACACATCCAAGTCATCATAACAACCCCAAACACCCGACCATTCCCAAAGGTTCACAAGAGTTGATGATGTTTTTGGGAGGTGTGGTGCCCCTGGTAGGGAATCTCTCTTTCACAATTTCCTATTTTGCTGATAGAAATACAGAGGTACAAAAACTGAAGAGAATATTCCCCTGGCACAAAACCAGTAAGTGATAGCCCCAGATTTCAAACCCAAACGCTCAGCTGCTCTTTCCAACACAAAACTGGAAAACGCTTCTTTGCTTTAGGCCTATTTCCAAACATATAAAATTGGTAAACAAAGCAAAAAAAGTGTTTGTTTCCCATCTGTTGAGAAGAGGAAGGCAGTGTAACAAGTGTCACACCCAGCTCTCACCTTCTCTTTACAATTCAGCTCCCAGAGCTGTCTCCGGAAGGAAAGTGTAAGAAGCATGCAAGACTCACAGGAGATGCGGCTTGGGAGGCTTGAACACGCCCATGATCTCCAGCATTCCTCCCAAGCAAGGAAGAAAATTGATGTGGAAAACTGAAGTGTTCTCAAAACTATGTCTGGTGCCATTGCGGGGATTGCAACCAATGTCACAAAACAATATGTGTATAAATTTTTGAATGAGAAACTAACTTGAGCTGTAAACTTTCACCTAATGCACAACAAAACTAAAAAAAAAAAGAAACTAATAAGAACCAACAATAAATTATAAAAAGGAAACAGATTATGTAAGGTGCTGTATAAACACAAAACAGCTCCCCGGCCAACGAGACACGTGCTCTGGATAAAATCTGGAGCTATCCAGGAAGCACAGTTGCAGCCTTTGCTGTATCCTCCCCAGTCTAGTCCATCTGATCAGATTAACTAATATATCACGAGAAATGGTCTGCTTTCAAGAACTTCAGTAACCTGCTCCAAAAGAAAACCAAACCCATTGCCATCCAGTTGATGCCAACTCATAGCAACACTACAGGACAGGATAGAATTGCCCCATAACATTTCCAAGGAGCAGCTGATGGATTTGAACTGCTGACCTCTTGGTTAGCAGCCAAGCTCTCAACCACTGTGCCACCAGGGCTCCAGCCCTAGCTAACTGAGAAATACTCAGATTAAAGTCCCTGAGTCAGGTCCTAGTCCCGTAACAAGCTTCCCCAAGGCCTCCCTCGTCCTGCCCCTGGAACGCAGCTGGAGGCCTTTATTCCCTCACAGTGGTGAACCCCCATACTCTGATCCTGGGCTACAGGTTCCAAGGCAAGGATGCCTTTCTTTCAGGCCACAGAGTTTCGCCCCTGCTAGTTTCCTCTTGTAGAAGGCTACTCCTTCTCCTGTCACCAATTAGAAATCTTGGCTCAAGCTTCATCTCCTCCCTGAGCCTTACCAGATTATTCCAACCCAAATTGCCTTTTCTTTTCATCACTATAGTGCTTAGGGAGCCGTGGTGGTGCAGTGGTTAAGAGCTACAGCTGGTAAGCGAAGGTTGGCAGGTCAATCCACCAGCCGCTCCTTGGAAACCCTATGGAGCAGTTCTACTCTGTCCTACAGGGTTGCTAAGAGTCAGAATCGACTTGATGGCAATGGATTTATAGTGCTTAGAGTTGGCACCTCACCACAGGAAGCATATTATGCTTCTCTAATTGTGTTACCGGAGCTCTGGTGGTACAGCAGTTAAGTGCTCGGCTGCTAATTGAACGGTTGGTGGTTCTAACCAGGGCTTCGAACCCTATGGAGCAGCTCTGTCCCATACACATGGGGTCGCCATGAGTAGGAATCCACCCAACAGTAACTAACACCAACCACAACTGAACGGGAAAGTCCTTGTTGTCACGGAGCTAAGTTTGTACTTTTCTGTCTCCTCGAACTCCCACAGCAAGTACTAATTGGCAGACTCTCCCTCTCTCATCATTTTTCTCCCTCTTTCTCCCATATTTCACTTTCTCTTAGTAAAATGTCCCCTTTACATATATAAATCGTAAGCCTTTTATGGAAGTATTAACTATAGTTACTGTGAAAATATTTTCAGTGGTGTGGGAGAGAACCTTTTACACAACATAGCTTAGGGCTTCAAGAAGATATCATAATGCACATCTGAATTCCTAACAACACTCCTGCCCACACCATCCGGTTCTCTTGTCAGTGACCAGGAGGCTTGGTGCGTTGAGAAAGATGTCCCTGACACAAAGCAGGATGTTTGTACTTCAGAATGAAAACGAGCCGAGTAATCTTTTACGATGCATCCAACAAAAAACAGATAAAGATTTAAAACACAGATTTGAACAGCAAGGTCTGGGGGAAAGGACATAAAATGGAGAAAATTAACAATGGAAAAATGAAGAACAATGAGCTCCATAGGTTTTAGCTGTTTTCAACCAAACTAGACAATCCCTTGAGAAGAAATGAGTCCCACAAATCACAGGCAGCTTATCTCTGTTAGCGAATTCTAGTTGCATATCAAAATAATTTTGTTCATTATTTTACTGTCTATTTTAAAATTGAATCTAGACAAATGTTTTTGGTTTTCGTTTTTTAATGCTGATTTCTGAAAAACTCCAAATCACCTTTCCAATGATACTTTGATTAACCTCTTAAATGTTAATTGTCCTCAAAAGCAGACTAATGAATTTGGCTGTGTTGGAAAGAAAGAAAAATTCAAAACAGAGGAAAAGGGAAGGAAAATTTCCTCAGACACATGAAGTACTGCTGGGATGACTTACTGTCCCATGGACACTCAGCGGACCGAAGTGGAAGAGGCTGCATAGGCCGGGCTCACTATTATTTACTCCCCATTGCTAACCCCGCATTGTCTCATGATCTTGTTTTTTCCTCCGGTTCCAGTCTGTACAAAAGGTTTAAGATTAAGCGATGTTCCTCCCTGGAGGGTGGAAAACAAGTGATCATGATCTAAGGATGAAAAACCAAACAAAGCACCCATCTTGTGACAAGAAAACCAGGATGTCACCAGATAACCCCAAGAATGTCGCCAAATAACCCCCAAGAATACCAGTAAAAGAGATTAACTCATCTGAGACATGACCACCTCAACGGGGAATGAACACAAACTTCTAAGACCCATAATCCTGTCCCTATAAAAGCCTTCGGCTGATCTCCAGTGGGGAGACGGGTTTTTTTTTTGCAGGAATCTATTCCCCTCTGTCTCCTAATATCGACATATAATAAAATTCTTGCTGCTCACCTCACCCCTGTCTCAGAATTGGCTATTGCGGTGGGCGGCTCCAATCTGCATTATTGCGGTAACAAAAGATATTGTTGGAACTTGATAAAAACTCCCCCAGCAATGATTTCCATTTGTCCTTACAGAGCTGAAGATAAACAGACTCAATCAACTGTAAAACTGATCAAAGTTCATCTTCAGAATCCCCAGCCTGCTCTTCTCTCTTTCTCCCACTGATTGTCAGTTTGGAGGCTTGAATGGCAGTAAAACTGCCCGTGATACACCTGGAGTCAACCAAGATGGCAGCAACAGTATCGGCCTCCCCTGCCTTTGAACCTGGGTGTGCTCATGGCCACAGCAGAAGTAATTTCCCAGGCAAGATGATCCAAGGTGATGCAGCTTCTGCCTGGTTCTCTTGAGGCTCTTGACCTGGGAACCCAGCCAGCAAGCTGTGAAGAAGCCTGAGTTTGTCTAGGTGTTTCGGCTGTCAGCCCAAGCTGAGAGAACAGTCATGTGAGAGAGCAATCCTAGAGATGATTCAAGCCCCTAGCTGTCCAGTCACTTCTAAACTTTAAGATTCCAACTGAGGCCCCAGACACTGTCCCAGAGCAGAGACAGGCCATCCTCACTGTGCCCTTTCTGAATTCCTGACCTACAGAATTCAGAGGCATAATAAAATAAAAATTGTTGTTTTACAGCTTTAAGTTGAGGGTGCTTTGTTACACAGCAATAGTAACTAGAACACGATAGAAGGCTAGTCCTTCCAGTTGTGCTCTGGATCTCATCTGTTCTTGCCACCCTCCTTGGAGAGCACGTTTATTTGTTCATTTAATAAATATTTATTCAGTGCTTACCATGTGCTTAAGAGATCAGCTGCTAATCAAAACGTTGGCAGTTCGTATCCACCAG